AGGAGAAGGACAAGGGAGGAACTGATTCTGAACTCTCACTCTTCACACCCTCAGTCTCTCTGTTATTTTCTTGTTATTCCCCTTAGTAGCTTCTCACGAGGGGATGTAAACAAAACTGTAACAATTCCCTCCCTTTGATACATTTATAAAATATGTCTAAACATGAAAAAACAATACCATAAAGTGGAAATTGGACAAGATTTTTTCATAGTAACTCTGAGATTGTCAAGTATAAACAAATGTCCGAAGAAAAGTGGCCCAGAGTAGTCAATTGTAATTAATCTCTTGTGATAAGACATGATGAATGTTACATGAGAAACTCATAATACAGAGGTTCTATCTATTTACGTAAGTAGGGAATAGGGCATGGGGGGATGGTGGGGTCCGTAGACTTGGTGTCTTGACTGGCCCTGGGTCCAGCGGAAAGGGGATTGGTGGACAGAACGTGGACGAGGGAATAGAGACCGGGGGACTGAGAGAGAGAGACAGGCTGAGAGAGAAGGGTCAGAGGGAGAAGGAGAAGGAGAGAAGGTCAGAGAGAGAGAGAGAGAGAGAGAGAGAGAGAGAGAGAGAGAGAGAGAGGTGGTAGAGTAAGCTAGGATATCATGGTTTGATAGCATGGACAAAGGGTAGCAACTTTCATTAAAATAATAACACATCAAATATTATATTATAACATATAAAAATCATGTCAGGTAGGCAACATAATATGCAAAGATAGAAGGCTAGGTAAATCATCTTTATAAGATGCACAAGCAAGACACGTTTCATTAATAATTTAATAATATGATCAGGAAAAAATAAAACTACATCACCACGACGCGAATATTAAAAATGTCAGGACCAACAAATATCGTTATCAATGTGTTGTTATTGTTGGTGTTGTTATTGCTGCTGCTGTGTTTTGTTGTGTCATTGTTGTTGTTGCTGTTGTTTGCGTTGTTGCTGTTATTGGTGCTGTTTTGTTATTGCTGTTGTTATTTTTGTGGTTGTTATTGATCTTGTTATTGCTGTTGTTTTACTGGTACCCTTTTTTTAGTGTTGTTATTTTTTGTTGTGTTGTTATTGGTCTAGTTTTGAAGTAGTTGTTGTTGTCATTGGTGTTGTTGCTGTTGGTGGAGGTACTGTTGTTATTATTCTTGTTATTACTTGTGATGCTGTTGTTAATATTTTTGTTGTTGTTGTTAAATTGGTGCTGCTGCTGTTTTTGCTGTTGTTGTTATTATTGTTGTTGTTGTTGTTGTTGTTGTTGTTGTTGTTGTTGTTGTTGTTGTTGTTGTTGTTGTTGTTGGTCCAAACACAAAATTCCATCATCATCATTGACAAAGATACAAGGATTTGTCATCACCAACGACCCCCCCCCCTCCTTCCCCTCCAAAAAAAACCAACAACAACCAACCAAATAACCAACCAACCAACCAACCAAACAAACAAACAAACAGACAAACAAAAACAAACACCTATAATGCGTCTGCTCCTTCTTCATTTTCTTGTGTTATTCCTCCGTTCGTTCCACCATCGCCCTGGGGACAGCGCCTCTTACTCTTAGGGTATTCTTCATTCTTCATGGGACGACGTGGACTTCACTGGAACGAAAGCGTGACTCTTTATTAATCTTTTGTGTTGGTGTAGATCCAAGTTTACGAAGACCAGACACTATTCAGTTTATTTCAAATGTGGGACTCTCGGTCTTGTGGTTAGAGTAACGGTAGGGAAAGAAGGAAAGAATGACAAGGAAACAAACCAAAGTACATGTACCTGAGAAAATATCACGCACGAGCTGACACCCTCCCACCCCCAACCTTTTTTTCGACCGTTTTCGACCACCCATTTATTTTGTTACATATTCAATACTTAAAATTTTGCAGCGAATGGGAGTGTGAAATCAAAAGTATAGTCGAAAGAATCCCCTCCTGTCATCTTACATATAGGTAAGCAAATAAGTTGGTGGGTGGGTAAGTGAAGTGAATGGATGAGTGGGTAGGTAAGTAAGTAGTGAGAACATTAGGATGATAGGTAGGTAGGTAAGACGGTAAGAATAAAGTAGGTGGGTGATTGGGTGGGTGTATACACAGGTAGGTGGGCTGGTAGGAAAAATTGCGGAGTGGATTGGTAGGGCGATATGTATGTTGATATGCAGGTAATTAGGTTGGGAAGTCGGGAGGCAGGCAGGCAGGCAGGCTGGTAGATAGGTAGCTAGGTAGGTAGGTAAGTAGCTAGGTAGGTATGTAGGTAGGTGGATATGTAGGTAGGTGGATAGATAGGTAGGTAGGTAGGTAGGTAGGTGGATAGATAGGTAGGCGGATAGGTAGGTAGGTACTTACGATTTGTCTTTTCTTTTCAGACAACTTCGGCCTCTGAAGAGCGAACTGGAAGAAGGATGGAGAGGGGGGGGGGCAGGATGAAGAAGCAGGACATAAGAATCATTGCATGGTAGAGGGGTTTGTTCTATTTTTCATTACATCATTATTCCTGTGTTATGACATGTTCAATTGTATGAATGTTCTGATGGTTGCAGGTGTCATCTCTGCCTTACAATGAAATGCCATTCACTTCGGTTGCTGAGTATGGAAAAGACATAACAGTTCAGTAGATGGTGCCTGAGTGGTAGTGAGATCTGAGGTCTGAGATGTAAACATCATTTTTTAAAATTTGCTGTCTTAGTATTTTTGTCTATTTCTTGTACTTTTCTAATTATTTCTACTACATTATCTGTCTTTCTATGGGTTGTTTTATCTAATATTTCAATGGACGATTTTATCAAATAGATGGCTGAAATGTGAATGTCATGGTTCTATTTATTTTACCTCTGTTCCTGTTGCCGATATTGACGTTGTTGCTTATTATGTTTCTGATGTTGGTGTTGTTGCTCATGTTGTAGTTGCTTATGTTGTTTGTGTTGATGATGTAGTTGGTGTTGCTACTGTTGTTGCTGATGTTGTTTCTGTGTTTGCTGATGTTTCTGTTGATGCTGTTATTTCTATGTTGCTAATGCTGCTGCTACTGCTGCTATGCTGCTGCTGTTGTTGTTGTTGCTGTTGTTTTTGTTGTTGTTATTGTTGTTGTTGCTGCTAATGCTGCTGTTGTTGCTGTTGCTGTTGCTGTTGTTGCTGATGTTTATGCTGATGTTGCTGCTGTTGCTGCTGTTGCTGCTATTGCTGATGTAGTTGATGATGATGCTAATGTTTCTGTTGCTACTAATGCTGTTGCTGTTGCTGTTGCTGATGTTGCTGATTTTATTGCTGTTGCTGATGTCGTTGATGGTGCTGCAAAAGTTGCTGCTATGGCAGATTCTACCAATGCTCTTGTTGTTTTAACGCACGCCCAGCAATTGACCATTGTTATCTTCTCAAGTCGCAAGTGTTACCCATACAGTGGTAATAAGGCCGTATCCATAGTCATGTACATCTGATGAGATACGAGGTTTTTACGGAAAAGACAAATGGGTCAGTGGCGGTGTGAATGAGTTGAGTTAAATCACTGAAAGCCTGCAACACTGGGGTCATTATGCCGTTGATACAGGCAGTTGTAAACATTATGATGATGATATTAATAACAACAATAATAATAATAATAATAATAATAATAATAATAATAAATACAACAGCACATAGACAAATAGATCGAAGAGCAAAGATAGACAGAGAAGAGAACACAGACTGATAGATAGAAGAACATAGACAAATTGAGAGAAAGGAAGTTCTAAGGAGTGAATGATCCGCAGACAGAATAGCATAGACAGATGGATAGAAGAACATAGAAAGATAGGAAAAAAGAAAGTTGTAAGGTGTGAATCATCGGAAGACGGAAGAACAAAAATAGTTATAGCTAGAAGAACATAGCCAGATAGATAGAAGAACATAGACATAAAGAGAGAAGAACAGAGACACAGAGAGAGAGAGAGAAGAACACAGATAGATAGAGAGAAGAGCATAGATATATAAAAGAACATAGACAGGTAGAGGGAAGAACATAGACAGATAGAAGAACAAAGACCGATGGATAGAAGACCGGAGAGAGAGAGAGAGAGAGAGAGAGAGAGAGAGAGAGAGAGAGAGAGAGAGAGAGGTAAAGGAGCAAACAAACGGACAGACCGTCCAGGTGCATAATAATATGATATTATTATCTCACCACATTCTCCCGAGAATAATCGTAGACCCTGTCATCAGGGGTTAGCGAGTCCTCGGACCGGGGTTGGTGGGATAGTCGCGTCGGCTGGTACATGATGGCCTGGATGGTAGGCAACAACATCATCATTATAATCATCGTGATCATCATCATCATCATCATCATCATCATCATCATCATCATCATCATCATCATCATCATCATCATCATCATCATCATCATCATCATC